GAAGCGGCGGAGAGGAGGAAGATCTGCTGAAGAAGGGAAGGGGGACAACATATATGTTTATGGGTGGGTAAGAGGCTATTTATGTTTTGGGTCAATATGCTTACTTTGTAGTTTTAGTTTTGTAAGATTTATGTTAGAGCACATATGGAGACCAAAGGGAATATGTAATATAAGGAATAGATGGGGAAATCGTTGAAGGTAGCTACGTGGAATGTACATGGCTTGAGGGGAAAATATAAACGAGCAAGAATTGAAAAATCAATTAACAAAGAGAAAATAGATATTGTATTTTTACAAGAAACACATCAAAAGAAAGAAGGGGTGAATGAACTTAGGTTATATTGGGATGATGTATATGAGAAGGCATTTTGGTACATCAAAAGCAAGAGGGGTAGCAATCATGGTAGCTAAAAGATGTGAATTTAAGATAAAAGCCATAAAAAGATTTTATGGGAAGATTTCTTATAATTCAAGGCTTTATTTATGGACAAGAGGTCACTTTAGCAAATTTATATATATATATAAAGAAATAGAAGAAATAAAAAATGGTTATGTGATAATGGCAGGTGATTATAATATGGTTATGGATATAGGAATTGATAAATCTAATCCATCAAAAGTGGAAATAAAGTATAATAATACAGATTTAAGAAAATTTATTAATAGAAATAGATTAAAAGATGTTTGGAGAGAATTACATGGCAATCAAAAGAGATACATATTTTTCTAGTAGACAAATTTTTTTACAAGAATAGATTATATATTTGTAACATCGGAAATATTATCTAAAAACAAAAGCAGAGATAAAATATCAGATCATGCAATGGTAACTATGGAAATGGAAATAGATTGTGATTATAAACAGGCAAGTAGATGGAGAATGGATTCGAGGATTTTTAAAAATAAAGAGATTTTAGAGAAAATGGAAAGAGAATTAAAAGACATATGGACTATAAATGAAGAAGGAGGTAGTAATATAGGTGTAATATGGGATGCAATGAAAGCAGTGGTAAGAGGTTTAGGGATAAAATATTCTTATAATATAAAAAAACAAAAAGAGAAATATATAAAAAGGTTGGAGGAGGAAATTAAAGAACTAGAGAGCAAATATATAGAAAGTAGAGAGAATAGGATTATGTTAGAATTATCAGCTAAAGGAGTTGCAAAATATTGAGTTAGAACAGGTTCAAAGAAATCTAATTTTATGAAAATAGTAATAAAATAGTAATAATAGTAATAGTAATAAAAATAAAAATTCTAGAATGTTGGCTAGAGCCACACAAGTTAAAAAGGCAAAAAGGCTGATTGGAGTAATAAAGAACGAAAAGGGAGAAAGATGTAACATGATGAGAGAAAAATTGTTGATATTTCAGAAGTTTTTTGAAAAGTTATATAAGGGAAAAGAAATAAATTTGAATGAAAGTCAGGCATATATAGAAAAGAATTTAAACTGTAAAATTCGAGAATGTGATAAAGAAATAATGGAATCACAAATAGAAGAGGAGGAGATACTGGAAGTTATTAATAAATTGAAAATAGGTAAAGCACCAGGGTTAGATGGACTAGGTGCAGAATATTATTAAAATGTTAAAGGATTATTGGTGCCAAAGATGAGGTTAATGTTTAATAAAATAATGGAAGGGGAAATTATTCCAAGTTCCTGGAAACAATCACTGATAGTATTGATAGCGAAACCTAATAAAGATCTTACAAATCCAGGATCATATAGACCAATATCCCTTATTAATCAGGATGCTAAGATTTTTACAGCAATATTGACAAATAGATTGAATACATTTATAGAGAATTATATTAAAAATGATCAGTGTGGATTTATAAGAGGCCGAGAAATGTCAGATGTAGTAAGAAGGGTATTAAATTTAGGCTATTACATAAAGAATCAAAAATTAAAAGCTGGTTTATTAGCATTAGATGTTTTTAAGGCCTTTGATTGTGTGGAATGGCCTACATTGAAAATATTAATAGAGAAATTAGGTTTTGGAAATTTTTTTAGAAAGGTGATAAATCAACTATACTCAGAGAATAAGGCAAGAATAGTCATAAATGATGGTGTTACAGAGACAATAACCTTAAACCGGGGAACGAGAAAGAGTTGTCCTTTAACCCCAGTTCTTTCTGTATTATTGATGGAGGTTTTGGCAAATGCAATTAGGAAAGATTCATTGATTGAAGGAATTGGCTTAGGTAAGAAAACGAAAATAAATTTATTTGCAGATAATACATTACTAACATTTCAAAACCCCATAGCTACTATAGAGAGGGTATATTCACATTTGAATGAATTTGGGAAATAAAGTACATTGCAAATAAATTGGGAAAAATCAGAAATGATGTTATATAACTATAGTAAAGAAGAAATGGATGTATTGAAAGAAAAATATAAATTAAAAATAGTAGATAGTATCAAATATTTAGGTATTGACATCCCAAAAAATATTCAAGAATTAAAGAAGATAAATTATGAGAAGTTAAAAAAAGATATAAAAGATAAAATGGATAAATATGGAAAAGTAAAATTATCATGGTTTGGAAGAATTGAAGCAATAAAAATGAAAGTTTTACCAAAAATTAACTTTTTGTTTTGGATGATCACAATTAAGTTTTCGGATCAAGAATTAAAGGAAATACAGAGATTGCTGGAGGTGTGTTGTAATGGAGGCAAGAGAGCAAGAATAAGTAAAGCTTTATGGTATGAACCATTAAAAAAGGGTGGGCTGGGTCTTCTAAATGTTAGAAATTATTGGATAGCTAATCAATTAAGGGTGGTCCCAGATATTATAGCAGATAGAGCGATATAGAATTGAAGGAATTGAGGGAAATAGGCGATCCTATAGAAATATATTGGTTTAAAAAATATTTAAAAAATTGTTAAGAGAATTCAAAATCCCTTTTTAAAAAACCTGATAGAATTATGGGATAAATGGAGATATCAGTTAATGCCAGGAATTTCTCCTTTAATACCGGTAGTAGAAATGGAGAAATTCCCTAAGATTGAACTGAAAGATTGGATTAGTAAATTTAAAAAAAATCAGATACATAAATGGGACTGGAAGAACAAGATAAAGAATATAATGCAATTAAAGAATGTTTTATCAGATACTAAGTTAAATTGGTTGAATTTAATACAATTAGAGAAATGGATAAAAATGGAAGAAAAATTCGAGGAGAAAGATAGACAGTTAACAAAATTTTGAAATAATTATAAAAGAAAGTGAGGAAAATGAAGAATATATAGGTAAAGGAATTGGGAAAATATACAGAATATTAACTGAACTAGAAGATCAGGCAAAAGGTTTAAAATTAATCTGGGAAACAGATTTAGGAGAAATAAACAATAAAAATTGGAAAAATATTTGGAACAGAAGAGTATATAAGAATATGTCAGTTAGAGTTAAGGAAAATGGATATAAAGTGATATGGAGGTGGTTCCTAACACCACACAAACTATATCAAATAGATGTTAAATATACAAATATTTGCTGGAGATGTGAGAAAGAGAGTGGAACATATAAACATATGTGGTGGGATTGTGATAGCGCATAAAAGAAATGGGACATGGTGTTTAGGGAAATTAGAGAACTTTTGAAGGTTAATGTAGATATGTCACCGAGGATCGCATTACTGTTACTGGTGGAAAAACATGATATAAATGAAGCAAAAAGGGAATTGATTGTAAATTTGATAATGGCAGCTAGATTAGTGATGGTTAAATATTGGAGACGGAATTGGGATATTCAAAGAAATGAGTGGTATAATGAGATATGGAATATGGCAATAAATGATAAACAACAGAAATTAAATTTAAAAAAGGGATGATTAAAGTAACTAATTATAATGAAATATGGGATGATTTTATAAAAACAGTCTTGGTGGAAGGCAAACGGGATAAACCTGCTCAAGAATACATGCTGTTTTGGAGGGGATAAAGGCACAATTGAAATATATTGTATATTGTTAGTTGTTATATGAGAAGAAATATAGGTAATAAAAATTGTCTCCAGGGATGTGGGTGCACTGTAGTATTTGTATTTTTATACTGTTTTTATTTAGATGTATATGTGTTATGTTTGTATTATTTGTATTTGAATAAAATAAAATTGAAAAAAAAAGAAGTTAAAAGTTAAATGCTATAACCTTGGAGAAATTCAAATTTGGATACAAGACAAAACTATTATATGTAATGTAATGTGATGTAATTCAATGCAACACAGTGCAATGCAATACAACACAACACAACAAAATACATACAATGCAATAATATTTTCCAGAATTATTGGGCCTTAGAACATTGATACCAAATGTGAAAGAATGATCCAACCTAGTTTTTCTTCAGTTTTAACAAATTTTAGAAAATGAATTATTTATTTTGGCAATCATTACTAGAGTAATACACCAAATAAAATATCTTGTACCAGTTTTCTCTGAGTGTAAATGTAAATCTGGTGTTTTTTCTTTCATCGATAATCTCATTATTGCATTACTGCTTTTCAGTTGTTCTGTTCAAATATTTATTTTGACTTATCTATAAGTTTGTTAAATATGATTCATTAAGTGAGTAAGTTAAAAACTGCTATTCCTTTGATCATGCAGTTCTTAATTTACTCACCTTTTGGGAAGCACCCAGCCTGGCACAGAGGAGGGATCAAGTGTAGAGTTAGCTTGTAGTCACTGAACAACTGCAAAAGGACTAGGATTGACATCCCCTCCCCCTTTAGTTACATAAAAAGTAGTTAGATCAAACTCTGCATTTGGGGGACTGGTGGTTTGCTCCTGACATCACTTGATGAATCATATTTAACCAATATAGATAAGTCAAAATAAATATTTGAATTTTGTGTGGTAGGTTTTTTTGAATTCTGTTTGATTCCATCTTTCAACTTATAAATGATCTTGGGCGTGTAAGATAAATATCTGTTATCTAGCTACACTAATAGTATCTTTAAAAGAAACACAATGATTAAATTATTGTCTATTTGCAGATTTGGGATTCCTATTTTTACCTTGCTGTCATATTTATAAATCAGTTGTGTCTACAGTTAGAAATGTTCACACTTTCTAAGAAGAAAAAAGTACTAGAAAAGTAAGTATAATTGTTGGCTTTTTTAAAAAATAGAGAAAATCTTTGTAGTATTTATCTTTTCTGTGCAAAATTTTATTAAGATTGAAAGTTGTCAAACTATGTGAGATTTGCTGTTGATTATTACTGAGAGACAGAAAGTTGTTTTTCAAGGCAGAATTGTTTGAAGTACATTTGATTTCTTAAGTATGTTTTAATGGGATGTACCTGACAACATGCACAGTGCTCTTGAATAAATCTTATCTAGTTTACAGTATGTTGATTATATGCCATAATCATACCAATGATTATAGCTCACTGAAATTAATGAAAATAACTTGCAGGAAAAATATCAGTTCAAACCCTAAGAAGAATGCACTTGTTAGAAATGATGACGTCTGTAATTAAATCTTTGTTTTGTTTGCATCAATGATTCCCACAGTTATAGACAAAAGGTGTTTTGATTCTTTACCGGTAAGAACATATAAGAAGCAACATCAAACCATCTGTAATAATATCTGCAGCTGTCTCCCACAAATGCTTGTCTGTTACTGGATGCAGGCACAGTGTTTGAATAGTTTCAGAAATGTTCTTTCTATGATGTGTTGTGGTTTTCTTGCTGCTTTTCATTTCCTGTTTTAATAAGTATTTTATGAAAAATTCTGTTGGATTTTTTTCTCTATAACTGCTGCAAACATACAAAATGTATGTTTCATGATAGAGTGAGATTATTAATTATCTTATCTGATTTTTTAAAAATGTAACAGATATGGTGATATGCGGGTGACAATGGGATGTGAAATCTTCAGCATGTGGCAAAATATAGGTAAGATTAATTATGTGGCTTAAGTTTTAAATTTGCATAAATGTTTTTTTTATAACAAGTTTTATTAATTTTTCAATTTTACATCCAAATATTTAGGAAGCAGCGTGGTGATTGGGTAATCAATAGTCCAGTAATAAAATCTTTCATACGTATCTCAGGTTGCGTCATTAAAAGGTTCCTCTCTATTTCCCTTAATTACTATATCACATTCAAATTAATACATTTCTAATTATAGCTCAATCAATCAATACATTTGTCAATTTAATGTTACTTATACATTTTCAAGTCCTGTTTTTAAGTTTTACCTAATTTCAATTACCGTGTTCCAATTTAGTCTTTAATATCCATAATATTTAGACTTCGGGTAACCCATATTTTCGTAATTTCATTACAAAATACTTATCGTATCTAAAATTCATATATTATTCAGTTAATTACATTCTTATTTTATGTCACAAGTATATTCTATTTCTCATCCTAGTACCTCATTGTTTACTAATAAAATATCTTTTATTGTCACAAACCAACTTCCATATTACAATTCAAAACTATAATCTAATAAGAGGCTAATTTTCATTTCCCTTATAAATCTAAACATTAAATCAATTAATATCTTTAAAAATCTCCTTAGCCCATTAAGTAAGATTTTAAGCTCTTCCATTATCAATCAACAACAAAAAAAGGAAGAGAAAGAAAATCCCATTTTTAAATCTAACTCTAGCTTTCTTTTTGTGCCAAGCAGGCTTCCATACCAGTGCCTTTAAATCCTCAGATGGATCTCCCTTCATTCCTACACATGTTATTTGAATCAAGGGAGAGATCCAGTTATCAATTTTTCAAAGGAACTGGCCCCTTTGTAATCATTAGATTGTTGCCCTAATAGTTCAGATCTCCATGTTTGATTTAAAATATTTGTCGTCAGTTCAATC